GGCCGCGGCCTCGGCCTGGCGGGGGTGGCGGTGACGGGGCCTTGGGCGCTGGGCCCGTAAAATCGGATTTCGCTAGGGGAATGTGCGTCGTGAAGACGACAGACAGCGCCTCATCGGCGGGAGGACTGCCGCGTTTCATCCCCGGCTTTGTACGGCCTTTCTACCCCCGTGTTTTCACTTTCTGGTTTTATTCATCGGTTGCCTTGGTCCACAGCAATGCCCAATTTTTTGTAATCGTATGGTTGTATCAGCGCTTCACGGCGGTCTCCCGAGTGGCCGAGTTGCTCTTTGTGGCCAGACGCCCCATTTTGTTCTCGCTGTTGCTGTTCTGTCGATATCTTCGTTACTTAATTCGTGGCGAGGTCAGGTGGTGAGATGTGTGAAATCCTAAGTGTTTTTGGGGTCGAGGATTGTTGGTGCTGGCCAGCCTGCTGTATGTAGGCAAAGCAGGGAGCGATGTTCTTGCAGCTTCCCACCGTGAGACACAGTTAGACACTTCAAAAAATGCTGCTCCTCAGAGCAGTTAGAACTTTGCCATTCCTTTCCCAGCGTTTCTTCCATGCCTCCGTACCCTTTGCATATGTCATCTAGTCAGCAGAGCAGAACAGTCCCATGGCTAAATTATTCTTTACGCTCTGGAAGTCTGTTTTTAAGAGGCATTGGCTGGTGCCGACTGTAGTGTCTGACACCTGTAACTTCAACATTTCAGGCGTTTAAAGATACTGGCAAAGCACCTGTGGAACAAGAGGTAGCAATTCACCGCATTAGAATTACTTTGACAAGTCGCAATGTAAAATCACTGGAGAAGGGTGAGTGATGCTTTTTTTTTTTTAACTGGGATGGCTTGTTAGGTAATGAACGGTATATAAGATATAGCGTATTGCAAAATACAGTGTATTGAAACCAATTGTAATTAAAAATGTTAGCGTTTGCCTGTTCATCTGTGGCTTGGCTGACAAAGTCAACCTAAAGCACTTCATCCACTGACAAGTAGATTCTAATGTAATTTTTAATGGAAGCTAACGTTGGGGTTTTTCATCGTGCTGAAAACTTGATGTCATAATGACTAACTTAAGGGAGTGCCGCTTCTTCCCGTCGGTTCTCATGGAGGTTTCACTTGTCACTACTCGAATGTGTAAGAACTGAAAGGCCCCAGTTTCTTGTTTGATGCTTTGTCGCTCTTGTTATGAAGAGTTGTCTTTAACATTCTTTAAGAAACTGTTTATTCTTGTTTAGGAACTGGCTTTGTGGGTGTTTTAGTCGTGTGATTTAAATGTTGTAGAATCACTGTTTCATGCAGGATCTTCAGGCTGATAACAGCTTAAATACAGCTTAAACTTGTAGTAATGGCTTTGGCCTACTGTTGTAACATGATTTTGGTAACCATGGCATAACATTTCCACTTGGATGTGGTTGGCTGTGAGGATAACCCTTAAAATGAATGGCAATGATCACTTCATACGCTATTCTGAGCCAACTTCTTGTTTCAGATCTTCACATAAGAAAACAAGCAAAAAAACCGCTCAAAAGCCTGAGCTATTTTGTATTTTTTCAGTCTGTGCTGACTTGATCAGAGGCGCTAAGGAAAAAAACCTAAAGGTGAAAGGACCCGTTCGCATGCCCACCAAGGTACTTAACACTGTTTTGCTGTCTCAAAAGTTTATTTTTTTCTGCAAATGTTAAACCATCTTTTTTAAAAAAAAAAAAGTTGAGATGAAAAGCAGTACTACTAAATTGATGGTGACCCAGTGTAAACAGATAATGGTTTCAAAAGTTGCTTTGACACTTGGGGCATCTGTTTAGTGAAAAACATGTTGAACATGGGAGGGGCTCTTTTGTCCTTCAATTTATTTTAATTGCGTTTTTTTAAGTTTTTTAAGTGAGTATAGGGAAGGAGTGTTAACATCAGTAGAATGTAACTTAAGAAGTAACTTTCTGATGACAGATACCATACGGTATTTTTAGGTGGATTCATTTGATTGTAGATTAGTCTTCTGTATACATAAACTAAATACCCTGTGTTTGTGATTTTGTTCAGACTCTGCGAATCACTACCAGGAAGACGCCTTGTGGTGAAGGTTCCAAGACCTGGGATCGTTTCCAAATGCGTATCCATAAGCGGCTCATTGACTTACACAGCCCTTCTGAGATCGTGAAGCAGATCACTTCCATCAGCATCGAACCAGGTGTAGAAGTTGAAGTTACTATTGCCGATGCCTAAATGATGGTCATCGCTGAATAAAGCTGATTTACAAATTTTCGTCACTGTTTGTTTTCATATGCGTGCTAAGAGTCTTGGGTAGCCCTGTGATGATTTTCATGAAGGACCGCAGAAATCATAATCAGAATGCTGTGTGAGAGGATTGTGTGGTGCTGATATTTAAGGAGGAATACGCCAGTTGTGAACATGAGGAAGCTGAAACTCAGGCATGATAGTTTCATTGGAGGTTGGTGACTGCATGGACCTGCAGCACTTAAATTATTAAAAGTATATTTTGCATAAAGGATTTAACTTTGGCTGAAATCTTAATGCTGCTGCTTGCTTGTCTGGGTATGGACTAACATTGATGTTTAGGTAGATTGCCGAGTTTTGAATTCTTAGTTTTTGCCATGTAAGACTGAACACTTGGGTTTTTTTTTCCCCATCCTTTTCACAGTCAATGGATCCTGAGGATGTTAGCTGTAAAACTTCATAGTTTGTGGTGAATACATTGAATCTAGCAAGTTCTTTCTTTGGGCTTGTGTGTGCAGTCACAAAACTAAGCTGTGGAATGCTGCACTCTCTAGTTGCCTTCCTAGGTTTAGATTTCCAGGGATTTGAATATTAAAGGTAAGCTTCATATGAAAAGCAATAAAATGGCTATTTTCATTGCTGCTGCTTAGGCCCCTCAAGTTTCGTGGTGGGTTTTTTTCTTCTGCAAACTAATCCTTAAAGGAGCTATGATTGATTCTTAAACCTACAAGACATAAAGCCCTGAGTTAAAGAACACTGTCTCATTTCATTCATTTAAGATCAGGTTGCCACTTCCGCTTCAAGCGTAGGAGAGAACTTCAGCTCTAATTAAACAAGCAGAAGCGAAGAAGCATGCGGCTTTGTAGACCTTGTGGTCCCATTTGTATTTGCTGAGACCTAAAACAGTGGCTAAAGCTTGAGCTTTCTTACTCGGGGGATTCGGGAGTCTGTCACCTGCCCACTTAATGTCATTAAAGCCTAAGAAGGATTCAGTCCCTCTAGTTAGCAGGCTCAAGAGCTTTGGTAGAAGGGGGAGGTGAGAAACTTTGTTGCATTTACACACGCAGATTGCCACAAGCCTGCTTCCTTGGGCAACATCTCAAAGAACTATGAGCAGAGGAAAAAAAAAAACACTTTGTCTTACTAACGGTCTGTTTCTGGTAATATGATCTGCCTGACAAGTACTGCTAGCCTTAATTTTAGAAGTATCTCTGTTGTCTGGGGTGCTCTGAAAAGCATGGTGAGGACTTGACATTGTGACACCAGTCAGATGTAAATAGGATAAGCTGGGGTGGACAAGCAATGGATTAGAAGTGGATGAGCTGTTAAACTGTCACCCAAGTTGTATTCTCTCTGCTTAACCCGATGACTTTCTGACAGAAGGCGCTTGGAGGGGCCTAGGGAGGGCAGAGTTGGCTGGCTTCGACATAATTTCTGCCTTGGGTCTTTACTGTTGGGACAGGTTGCCCAGAGAGGCTGTGGATTCTCCTTCTCTGGAGATACTCAAGACCCACAAGGTCCTGTGCAGCCTGCTGTAGGAGACCCTGCTTCGGCAGGGGGGTTGGACTAGATGACCCCCAGAGGTCCCTTCCAACCCCGACCATTCTGTGATAACAGCTTCGTGCTGGCTGCACCTCTGGCTTACAGGGTGCCCCTTAAACCATGCCTAAACAGCCCCGAGTCCGTCTGTGTCCTTTGGGTAGCGTGGCTCTGGGTAAACAAGATTTCTGTCGTCTTATGAGCGTGCTTCTCTCTTCTCGCCTGCCTTCAACTCCCCAAAACCAAGGACAAATACGACTTTTGCGGCTGGGTCCTACACGGCGTGAAATCGCCTCGCTCCTCTCTGCCCGGACCGGCTCACGCGTGTGG